TAGGAAATAGTTGGCCTGTCACAACCATTTGATAATAAATAGCTTATTAAAGTATTAGTGAAGGAAAAAGTAAATAAAATAAATACTTACTATACTCATTGTTCTCAGAAGACAGAATGTCACAATTTACTTTTATTGACAACAGCCTAATTTGATCAACTTCTAAGCTATTTTTTTTACTTATTTATCATTTATACTTATACAATATTTACAATTTATACTTATACTATATTATTTTAACCATTTAACTTATTTTAATTATTATATATAGCTATTTTATATTATTTTAAATATTGCATCACTTGCTTCTATTGTTTGCATTGCATACTTTTCTTCCTTTTTATAATCTTACATAACACCAATTTAAAATGTTTACAGTTGTAAATTCTACAAATTTAAAGCAGTGCGCTGAATGTGTAAATCTCAGTCAACATTTCACTGTACCATAAATTTCAATAATGGTGCTCATTTACATTTGACTCCCGGCAGCTGTGCCTGCTTGTAACGTGAAAATACCCATTAAGCCTGATTTATTAAAACTAGCCTGTTTTGCCTCTCCTGTGTATTTTGCCTTGACTGACGTTATGCATTTTTTTCTCCTAGGATTACAGAGTGAACATATTCCTCCGGCAGAAGTGGAACGACCCCCGGTTAGCTTACAGCGAATACCCGGATGACTCTCTGGACCTGGATCCCTCTATGTTGGACTCCATTTGGAAGCCTGATCTGTTCTTTGCCAATGAGAAGGGAGCACATTTCCACGAGGTCACCACTGACAACAAGCTCTTGAGAATATTCAAAAATGGAAACGTCCTCTATTCAATTAGGTGAGATTCCACAGTTATGCATCTAAAGCATTTTGTAGCATAACTACAGTAAACAGCAGCTGTGTTTTGGTCAAATTAACAGATTTTAGAAAAATAGGCTGGACCTCAAATTAAACCCAACACGCACCTTGATGTTAAAAAAAAGTCCAAAATATGTCAACAATGCAAATCAATTTGATGTCAAAGCCTTAACGTCCATTTGGCATCATTTACACTGGATTCTTTAATTGCTAAAATACATGCAAACTATCCCAATGTAAAAATGACACCATATTGACATCAAATATTGGCATAAAAAAACGGGTACATATATAAAAAATATACATATATATATATATACATACATATATATATATATACATATATATATATACATATATATATATATATATATATATTAAGGGTGGAGCCGAACCCGAATACGGTAATCGGAAAGGCACGAATAGCGTGTTTTTACGAATACTTGATTCGAACAAATACTTGAAAAATTATTTGTATTCGGGAGCAAGAAAAACACTATATCAAAAAGCAGCGTTTCCTCATGAGACCACAGTGCATGCCCGCGTGAGAGAGAGAGAGTGAGTGAGTGAGTGAGAGAGAGAGAGAGAGAGAGAGAGAGAGAGAGAGAGAGAGAGAAACACGCTCAGTGCAAAACGCGCCAAAGCCCGAAACTGAAAGCGAGACGTGACTGTTAAGGGACTGTTTCATATGGATTTATTAATCATTCTTACTGTTCGGTGATCGCAAACTGCCGTAGTTTATTAAAGACGCAAACCTCTCACTGCACGTCAGCTGTGCGCCTTCAGCAGACCTCCTCATTCCTGCAGCACGAGAGCTTTATGATTGGCTGTTTCTCAATTCCAAGAACGCAGAGAATGGACTTGCGTTCTTGTAGAGTGCGGTCTTGCCAGCTGTCCTCGGAAGAACGAACTCAGGAGACCGCGAGGGCAGAGAACGCGTCCTTTGAGAAATGGGATGCTGCGTTCTTCCTGATGGTCACATGATCTTCACGCGTTTTAAATGGAAATCATTTAAACATTACAGCCTTCATACAACGATTTATTGTTTCCCCCCTCTTCAAAATATATACTTTGCATAAAAACATTATAAATATACTCTGCACATTATAAATAAAACAAATATTAATACGAATTTCATCAAACAAACACAATTAATGTGTTTATTCCTTTATTAAGATGTTCATGTTAATGTTTACCTTCACCGTTTCATTTAGGGAAACTCCTGAGGTAAATAAGTTAAATCTCTGAACTTTAATAATAAATCTAAATAAAATGCTGCGCTTTCCACCTCCAGTCGCAATGACTTCTGGGACTTCCAGAGCGAGCTCGCTGTTGAAGTCTGCATCGGTGCGTCCTCGATATCAAGAACACATCCGGGAAGTTTCACTCGTCCTCCGTACTTGCGGTCTTGAGTATTGGAACTGAACTTAGGCAGCTGATGATGACGTTTCACGAGAACACGAGGACGCAAGACCGCTGAAGAACGCATATTGAGAAACTGTTTATGCGCGCCAAAAGTGGCGGATCTGTCCGGTAAAATATCTGACTGCATATCACCGCATCCCTAAGGACTGTTTGGCGAAATATTTGACTGCATGTCACTGCATAACAAACGACTGAAACGATATAACTAGAGAAATCTCCACTGTGCCACTGTGCGTATGGCAAGCCGTTTTAGCATTTAAACCTTGTTGAGACTATCCATAAATATATTTAGAGATATCTCTAATTATATTTTGACTTGTCATAATTATAATTCAGATTGGAAATATCTGCAAATATATTATGACTGACTAGTCATATTCCTCCATTGACTTCCATTGAAAAATATTTGCAGATATCTCTAAATAAACAAACAAACAAACTTTGTGTCTTTTTTTGTGGCTGGCAGATGATAATAGCAGGACTGTATCTTTTAGTATTATATAGAATACTTTTGTTCTGCCAGATCTCCCAGGCAGGGTTTTATTTAGATTTATTTAGCTTATTTTTGGAATTCTGTCCATTGGAAAAAAGTTCTTTCAGAAGAAGAACAGTTTTTTGAAGTATTATTTGTTTTTATTCTGTCTATTCAGTGTCCTTAAACAAGAACGGTGGTGGTGGGGTTCATAATATTCACAATGGTATTTTATTAGTTGTTGGTTTAACCATGGATGAGATAATGGCTTCTATGTTATTTTCTTTTCAATTATGTTTCTTATCACATGTTCAAAAACAACAGCCAATATTGCATATCTATAATTTATATGATGGGTATAATTAAACAATACTTTCACTATAACGTAAATTAGAAGTGTAATAGAAAAAATATATATTTCTGCGCCATTTTGAATTTTACTCGAATACAAATACAAATACAAATACTTTTCCCCCTCAACAAATACAAATACAAATACAAATACCGGCTGCTCCGCACATCCCTAATATATATATATATATATATATATATATATATATATATATATATATATATATATATATATATATATATATATATATATATACATATATACATATAGATCCCCTCTCCCTCAGTCATCTTTCCATCAAGCAAATTTCTCATGTTAGCCTAAGTGGCTGGTGACATCACCGACCAGAGAAAGAGGTGACAGTAACGCACCAAAAAGTTTGTCAACCCTTGTAAAACAGAAATAAGAAAAGAAATCATCATTCACGCAATCATATGGTTTTACTTTCATCGAATAGACACTGGCCTCACAGCTCCATAAATGTCGATGCAGTCACTTATCGATTCGTGATCGGTAAATGTAGCTTGTGTGGACGCTACCACCACTCTACTGAGAAATGTAGTTAAGCTAGTAGCATCACTACTTGTAGCAACGCTACTGCCCAACACTGCACAAGGCATAGTCACTGAAGCCAAGCAGGGCTGTGCCCGGTCAGTACCTGAATGGGAGACTACATGGAAAGCTACGTCACTGCCGAAAGTGGTGATATTGAGACCAGGAGGGGGTGCTCAACCTGCAGTCTGCGTGAGTCCTAACACCCCAGTATATTAATGGGGACTCTAAACTGCTTAGTGAGTGCCGTCTTTCAGATGGGACGTTAAACTGAAGCCCTGACTTTCTGTCGTCGTTAAATATCCCAGGATATCCTTCGAAAAAGAGTAGGGGTTTAACCCCGGCATTCTGGTTTCCAACATTCACCAGAACTTCTTGTTTTGTGTTTAACTGAAGAAAACAGGTTTAGAACTATTTAAAGATGAGTGAATGATGACAGTTGATGAGTAGTTTCTCTTTATTAGATATATGTACAGTACATACGGTTGCATTGGCATTTGAACCACACTGCCTGACAAAAGTCTTGTTGTCTATTCAAGTTTTTGAAACAACAAATCATAACTTGACTTCTAGTTGATCATTTGGTATCAGAAGTGGCTTATATGAAAGGCAAAGACCTCAAGATTATGCTTATTATACCAAAATAATATATGATCATGCCTTGATTTTTAATTGTTTAATTAGGACAGTAAGGTCTGACTTTGCTTTGACAAAAGTCTTGTCACTTAACAGAAATAATGTACAGAATAAAATATAAAGGCCGGTGCAGTGGAAAAATAATTAATATTGTGTATGACTCCCATGAGCTTGGAGGACTGCATCCATACATCTCTGCTATGACTCAAATCACTTAATAAAGTCATCTGGAATGCCAAAGAAAGTGTTCTTGCAGGACTCCTAGAGTTCATCAAGACTCTTAGGATTACACTTCAATGCATTCTCCTTCATCTTACCCCAAACAAACTCAATAATGTTCATATCTTGTGACGGTGCTGGCCAATCCTGGAGCACCTTGACCTCCTTTGCATTCAGGAATTTTGATGTGGAGGCTGAAGTATGAGAAGGAGCGCTATCCTGCTGAAGAATTTGCCCTCTCCTGTGGTTTGTAATATAATGGGCAGCACAAATGTCTTGAAACACTCTGCAGATCCCTGCATTCTAAATATAACCCCTAACCATGATTTGTCTTTCACCAAACTTGACAGATTTCTATGAGAATTTTGTGTCCATCCAGGTTCCAATAGGTCTTCAGTATTTGTGATGATTGGGATGCAGTTCAACAGATGATACATCTGAAAAATCTACCTTCTGCCACTTTTCCAAATGATCAACTAGAAATCAAGTTAATATTTGTTGATCTTACAACTGGGATCAACGACAAGACTCTTGTCAGGTAGTGTAACTGTAACCTTTTACGACAATTAATTGTGCAGATTAAACGATCATGTCAAACAATTGGCTGTTAGATAACAATTGATGGTCCTCCAGACCAAAGTGCTGAAAATTCTCAGATCTTTGTCTTCCTCCTCGTCTTCCTTGAACAAATTTGATTTGTAAGTGGATCCTTAAGCACACCCCCCCACCAATGCATTTAGTGCATTGACATTTTATCAGCACTCACAATGCCGCCCCACTATTGGTTGTTGCTTAGATAAGGGCCTAATAATGATTAAACTCATAACCCTGTTAGATCAAACAGATGGCAACCAAGGGCCCAAATGAAATTACAGTGAGTGATTGCATTTGTCTAGGCACCAGAGCGGCAATAATTGTCTTCGGGTTTCCACAGCTACGAGGGATCTGAATGTCCTATGCTCGGCCGCGGGATGCTGGATATTATGAGGTCTCAGGTGACACGGGCGGTGTAATTTTGCATGAGTTCAAATTAAATACATCAAACAACTTCCGGGTGCATGGGAGAGCTGGGCGTTGGAAGCCTGCATCGGATGAAGGTCTTCGACTGAGGCAGAATGAGATTAACATGTTAAAACAGGGCTGTGGAGAAGCGTCCCGGACAGCTGGACCCGTCTGACGGAGAGGGATGTAGGGCCTATAGAATCTGCCAATTCTCCCTCTCTCCGGATAATCATTGGCGGGTTTCCTCATTGCCTTGGCATATAAACAGCCACAGCTAGAAGAGTGGTGTCAAGATGGTCTGCATGGGCTTTTGCGAGCCATC